AGAGTCTAAGATTGCGTGCTTCTATCAGATTTGTATCTGTCTACCCCAATTCTGGTGCAGAACCATTGCTAAAAAATCTCTATGCCCGCTTTGAAAGATCAAAGAGACCTCCACCAGAAAAGGATGTGATATCTAAAGAAGCAAAGGAACAACCAGATGTTGATCAAGGTCAGACTTCAATGACAGTGCTTCACTATTCTCGATTCTTCATAAACCCAACTATTATGTGTTGTCAGCTGTGTGTAGGAGTTTTAACGGATACTGTTCTATTGATGTTCGTGTTTTTACGAGCCCTGAATTGGTCACATATTTTAATACGAGAATAACAACAAATCTCAGTATTTTCCTAATCCTGTTTCTTTTTTAATCTAGCGGTTGAAATTTAGTAGCCATGGGTGATTACTTTTTGCACAACCATTGACTACCCACACCCAAGATAAATTATTTTACCCCGTAGTATAAATTAAGGCCTCCACTTTCGTGGGATCCACCTGGGTTGTTGTTGTTGAAGGCTTCCACTAATGTGGTATGTTCTGCTTATTAGCAGAAACAGGATAACCACAATCAGATGTAGCATTTTATCATGCATAGTTGCATACCCCCACCACATGCACACACACACAGGCGTGTGTACACCATATATTCAATTTTGAACTATAGCATGTGTTGTGGCTATGCTAGCTTTCAGAGTTCCACTCACTCTCAGATGGTGTTTGTTATGCATCAGACATGGAAAACAATGAAGGTACCGAAGCTGATGATGAGGATGAGGATGAGGTTGAGGATGAGTTTGAAGGACTTGACCTGGAACACAATGAAGATAACGAAGCGGATGATGGTGACGCAAATGAGGTTGAGGATGTCAATGATGATGCATTTGAAGGACTAGAGATGGTTATAGAGTTGAAAATTGCTTACTGTAATTGATGCTCCTTCATTTTCTAATGGTTCTTTTACTCTTACATTGGTAGGTTGACCATGAAGGGAATCTGTCTTCACAACATGGCTTATGTATCCTTTAAACAGTACCACATCTAATTTAATTGTGATGATAGTTTAGAATGAAGTTTCAATTCCTGCTTAAACAATGAAATCACTGTATCAGTTGCCAAAATTTCAATGAATTGTACTTAACATGTAGATGCAGACCATGACAGCATATCGAGGACATACTTGCAAGAGCTTTTTGGTAACTTCCCTTCTAGCACGGATGGAATGAGTGAAGTGCAAGATGACCAGAGCATTGGAGAGTATGAGATCTATGAACAATATGGCAATGATGATTACTCCGAGGATGATGACTACTAAGATGTCAAAAATGGCCGGTATGGTACTTCTTTTATTTATATTAAATCAGTTTACTTACTTCTACCGTCCATTGGCCATTACCAATTGAGGGTTAAAAGATTTAATATTGACAATGTTTTAGTTTTGGGCAGTAAAGGTAGTAAGGCATCTTGACCCTTAGATCGGAACGGATTTGGGAGTATACTGGGTTGTTGTAGTTACTTGTTTACTTCTCACTGTTAAACAACTCCCTCACTTCGAGGTGGGAATGAGGGAAGGAGGGAGGGTGTGAGTTTCAATTTTGTTTTTCTCATGTAGGCTGCCAAATTGCAAACAAGTTAACAAAAACAACCCTCCGACTGAAGTCTTACAAATGAGGTGTGGCCTGTGGGGTGAGTGTACGCAAACCTTAAATTAAGTTAAATACTAAAAGCAATTCCTTTAGAAATATGATTTCATCACTTTTTACATTTGTACCTCTGAACAATCATGACTACTTTGTTTTTTGATAAGAGGGAAGTTTTCAGCTGGGTTATGGCTCTAGGGGATTGGGGTGGGTGGTGGTGTTTGGCTTAGCATTTTAGTAGCACTTTTTCCCTAAAGACGCTTCTTTTAAGTAAAATAAATGTGTGTTAGATGTTTGATGGAGCGTTTTATGTTTTAACACTGAAACCAAAAACAAGTTGTAGCCTTTTTATTTTTTTTATGTTTTGTAATTTTTTGGCCGCGATTTATCTAACAAACATATCAATTTTTTCAGTTAATTTGCACAAAATAAAAATCCAGGCAACTAATTTTTCACGCTTAGAGACAATTTTTTACCAAACAATCTAAACCCTAGATTAAAATGATGTTCTAGAAATTAATATGTACTCCCTCCATCTCCAAATTAAATTTCTAGTTTGACTTCACAGGCTTGAAGAAAATGGTGAAAGTGAACTTTTGTTGTTGGAATTTGTTTATAAGAGAAATCTTGTGTGACACATTCTTGAAAATTGTGAAGTTTATTTTGGGACGGCCAGAAAATGAAAGAGTGAATTTAGTTTGGGGGCGAAATGGTTATATTTGTTTAGCTGAGCTTGTGGTTTACTAAAGGACATGAATTGCTCTTGTATATGGTGTTAGACCAGAAGCTCACACAGAGACAATGGAAGATGAGGTATTGAGGTGGATGGAAGAAAACTAGAAAACTTCCAAGAATACTTTTTCTTTCTTTAATTCAATTCCAACATGTCTTTCAATTACATTAATCGACCATTTCGAGTCTCTTTTCAATTTATCTCTAGCTGAGATCAGTTCGTCACTTTTCTGTTAGAATTATAATCAATTTTAAGTTCAGTTCAGTGGAACAGAACACACTCTTATTAAGAAATTACAATCAAGCCACAATGGTCTAGTGGCATGATGCCATGTATTCTAGGGTAACAACAACCCCAACAAAATTTCACAACATACCTTGCTTGGAAGTAGAGAGGTTTTTTCTTGTATCCTCCGGTCGGTAAGAAAAAAAATGAAATTTATGAACCCACTCTCATAAGAGCCATATGGCCCCCCATTTTGTAGGACAATTTACTTGATGTTACTTGACTCCTATTTACGTGTCTAGATCGACCACTTTGTACATTTTTTATCGGTCCCTTTATGACATCGATGCATCAAGTGGTTCAGATCGTCTTCCCATCTCAGAAATGCACGGTTTTCAAACCGCTTATACCCAGTACATCCCTTAATTGCTTTGGCATCTTTTAACGTGTTTCTCTTCGTTAATCATTTGCAGGTGAGGATATATAACATATGAGATGGGTGATATATATATCATGCTTATACACCTCTCTCTTTTTATGCAGCCAGAGATGATGATGATGAGAAGCATGTCATGCCATCACATTCTAATATATGTGCACAAAATGACTCAATGTGCTTTGCCAACTTGGTGCACATAGCTTCTGTCTTCTGATTATTTAGTGAAGGTAGGATGTTGAGAGTGCATCTATCTGGGTGGGCTTTACATTAATGTAATATAGATGACATAACTTGCTTGATGTAAAATTTTGGGACCATGCTATTTTTTTCTTTTGAGAACATGTCATTTTGTTTAGGACTTTAAAATCACAAAACCTCTGTATATTTATTGATTCTTTTGATTGCTTGACTGGATTTTGAATACACTTATTTCATCATTTTTGTTGTTTGCAAATGTAGAGATGAATTGCAATAACAACCATGCCTTCTTTTTTTGGAACACTAATAATTCTATTACGGAGTATAATGTAGTATCTGTTCATACATTTTAAACTCATTAAGCACATATAGTTATTACCCTCACCGGGGATTGAACTTGTGACCTTTCATATGAGAGAGTCACGATTATACCGGGGATCGAAGTTGCAGCTTGCCTTCTCTTAGAATTTTTTTATGAGATTCAAGCGCTAAAGATGAACTAGTTTATGTTCTTGTTTTTTTGCTTATTTGATTTTAAATGCTTTAAATAAACTCTGGGCAAAAATTTACAATATCGAAATTATAAAAACAACCACACAAATTCATAACCATGAAAATATAACTGTGTAAGGCTATAATTGAGAAATAAAAAGATCTATTATCATGTATCTAAAGATTTATATAGACTTTCTCACATAAACTTTTATTTACTTTTCTTTTTTTAAATTAAAAAATGTTTATTTAATTAATAAATAAATGCTTATTTGGCTTATACAATGGTTAACCATGAACTTTGGTTATGTGCAAGAAATTGCCTAAGACAAATAACGCCGGACGTATTTGGTGAACTAAACTGATATGAGTTTTGATCGCTAATATTAAGTTTTCAAAATTAATGTTTGAGGAACAACAAAAGAGATTGAGCTTTCAATTTAGAGGCATGCACACTCTCAGTGTTTGGTATTTCTATCCGATATATGTCGCAGATATTTTCTTCCTCTTGTAGGCATCTCTTTCCACATCTCTCTCTGCATCCGAATATTTGATATCATCCGTCTGCCAAAATACTTAACTAAGACCAAGATATACTTCATATACAAGAATAGAATTTTTAGTACTCCGTAATATCAACACACACTGCGTAACATTTAAAAATATTGTCCAATACAATAAAAAATGTCAAATTGAGATGTTTTACAATGCCAACACTTCTATTTAGATTATAAAAATATAGAAAACTTTATTTTGTTTTTAAATTTCATTTTTTTAACAAAATTTAAAAAAAGACTTGAATGGTCTTTGGAAAAATACTTAGGGGCTGTTTGGCAACTTCTGAATGGGTAAGTGCTGAACCAGTAAGAGGTCTGAACCATTAAGTGCTGAACCAGTAAGAGGTCTGAACCATTAAGAGCTAGTATATTGCTTAACTATTCAGAGGCAAATGTCTGATTAATTCAGATAAGAGGTCTTAACCATTCAGACTCTGTATAATACTTAACCATTCAGAGGCAAATCTCTTAACCATTCAGACATCTGAACCATTAAGAGGCTGAAACAAACAGCCTGAACCATTAAGTGCTGAACCATTCAGACATCTGAACCATTAAGAGTTTGAAACAAACCGCCCTTACAGTAAACGAGATTGTACTTTGTTTTTGGGAAAAAAAGGAAAAGCAAACTTGAACTTCATTGCCGGAGGCAGGAATATTTCGTTGATGCTCTTCTCTGTGAATACCGATAATCACTTTCCCGGACTCGGAGACCATCTGCTTTTCCGCCGGCGTGGATCACAAGAGCCCATAAGAGCACAAGTCCACTCCCCGCCATCGTCTACGCTGTAATGAAATACGGTAGAACAACCTAATTGTTGATTGCCGATTTTCTTCTTCTTCTTCAAATTATTAGCATATTAGCGTACGATTCGCACTGCAATTTTCTATTGCAATTTCTAATTTTATTGTGCAGTTTGCAGTCTGATCTGAGGATTTAGTATAGAAGTTGCATAACTCCATAATATGATTTTTTTTTCCTGCCAAAAAAGTTGAAATTTACGGAGTATATCTTTGTGTTTTGCTTGTCATCCCGCGAAATTTGTAGGGAACCAAGACACCCTCATTTGGAGTGTTTCATTGCATTACTATTTTTTCTGAATTTTTTTTTCTTTTCACCAAACCCTAATTAAAGGAACTCTGTTCCTTAGTTGAGTGAAGTCATTCCTCTTTTGCTCACTAAACACAACCTAAAACAATGTGAAGAATGAAAAAGTTAGAACGAATGAGAAATTCAGCATCAGTTTAATTAGTATCATAAGTGTAATTAAATCATTTAATTACCTGTTGTTCATCCTTTGCCTGTTGCCTCTTTTTCTCAACTTCAAATCACCAATACGCACTGAGGAGAGAGGTATTCACCATAGAGTTTTGTGGAGGGGTTTTCAAATATTACAGTGATATATACATCTCTTGTTAATTGTTTTTTTTTGAATTTTCAGAATGGGTAATATATTCGTGAAGAAACCTAAGGTCACAGAGGTTGATAAAGCAATCCTTTCTCTGAAGACCCAGAGGCGCAAGCTTGCTCAGTATCAGCGGCAGGTACCCTTTAATTTTAGTTCAAAAGAACGCTTTTTATTGGTTACACTCTGCTTTTTTGAAGACTTTAACTTTGCTGTGATTGGAATCAACCAAATTTTTTCAAATATACGTAGTATAATTCTAAGTAAATCTTTCAGCTGGAGAATGTTATTGACGCCGAAAAACAAGCTGCAAAGGACTTACTCCGTGAAAAGAAAAAGGATAGGGCTCTATTAGCACTGAAAAAGAAGAAGGCGCAAGAGGAATTACTGAAGCAAGTTGATGCTTGGCTGATAAATGTTGAGCAACAAGTAATTACACTCACTTCCATTGGAAATACGTTGTATATTCTTCAAAGTGTTATTGCTTCACCATTTATTTAGATCTATGAATTAAAGTATCAATATGGCTCAGTTGGCAGATATTGAGTTAACTAGCAAGCAAAAAGCTGTGTTTGAGAGCCTGAAAACAGGCAATAATGCAATTAAAGCAATACAAAGTGAGATTAATCTTGAAGATGTCCAAAAACTAATGGATGATACTGCAGAGGCTAAAGCTTATCAAGATGTAAGCTTTCTTTCATTCTTTTTGTTTTGTTTTATGATGCCTGTCAGATATTATCGATCTAAAACATGCGAACAAATAAGAAATAGTTAACATTCAAATAAAAACTACTACTGCAACTGAGTGTGGGATAGTCTTCATTTATTGAAAGTGGTCTGTGGGCATCATCGGGTACTTTAAAACACATGCTTATCAATGGAATTGGCCAAACAATGAATGTGAATTGTTTATTTGATGAGCATTCAATGGAAAAAATTATTTGTTTCCCGTAGGAGATTTCTAATTCTTTTGTTGTTTTGGTTGTTGTTGAGTTGGGGTACAATTGTACCCTTTTTTTACCCCATTCTGTGGTACTCGGGATCAAATCTTATTACTATTCCTGACATTTTTAGAACATGCTACTAAGTACCCCTACTTTTTGATTTCATTTTCCCACTTTTTTAATTCTTTGGTCTGACCAGACATATATTTGGGGAGATTGCTCTCTCTAATATTTTCTTTCTATTATTCTATTTGTGTTGATTTTTGTAGGAAATCAGTGCAATCTTGGGGGAGAAGCTATCAGCTGAAGATGAAGAGGAAATTCTATTAGAGTTCGAGAATCTAGAATCTCAGGTTCGTTCGCTTTATAAACAGCATATACTAGAAGTTAACTGAGTACTGATTTCTTTCCATTTTTTCTTATTCATTGGCTGGTATACTGGCTCTCATGATACATTAGGGTCTCACTTTTTTCTCTTCTCTTTGTTATGTTTTAAACAAACACATCATTGTCTTTATCTTTGGTACTGGTTTTTATTTATCCTTTGAAACAAGCTGTGGATTAAGAGCAGTTATTATCGACATGAAATTTTATTTGTTTTCTTCTTGTATAGATGATTGATCAAGAACTGCCCAATGTTCCTGCTTCATTACCATCTGAGGTGAAAGAAGAGAAATTGGATCTCCCTGATGTACCAAAGAAAGCGCCAGTCATTTCTGAGTCAGATGATGCATTAACTGCAGTTCCCGTGAAGAAGAAAGGTCTCTCTCTCTCTCTCTCTCTCTCTCTCTAAATCTTTTCTTAATCCCATACATACACCCATTACATTAATACTTTCTACAAGTGGATCCGTGTATCCTCATAATCTAAAGTTCTGCAGTTCTGGAGGAACCGTTGCCTGCTTGATGTGAACCAGTCTCACAGGCATTCTTCTTGAAGCAACCACACCTGCTAAAATGCGTATTGTATTTCATTGGTGTGCTTTAGTATAATCATTTTAGCATAAGCGGATGGATTCCTTTATCAGATTTGTACAGCAGAATTTGCACTCTTTGTCTGCACCCATGACTGATTGAAAAATACAATTGTATACTTGTGTGTAAAACCAATTCTTTGTTTTATCGTCAAACTCGAATACTACCTCTCTCCCAAATAATTTTTTTGTGTTCGACTTTCCCGTTGTTTAAGAAAATTGTTGAAAAGGGGTTTAGAAGAGGAATGCTCCAAGATCATGGATTCTTTTCTCCGAAAGTGATTTTTTTTTTTGACAAATGAAAAAGGAAAGAGAAGATGTTTTGCGGGACAGAGGGAGTATATGTATTGGTTTTACTTCTAGCTTCAGCCTTTTTGGCTCTTCACCATAGCACATATTCTGACAATTGAGAGATGCATCTCTCTAGTGATCATTGCCTGCAAGAAGTGATGCATAAACATTTTCTTGAATTCCTTATTTGGCTCAACTTCATTAAGAACAGAAGACTCAACTAAAACAAAGTCAACACTGTCATTCCATATACTCCCCTTTCAAGCACAAATAATACTCCCTATTACAATGTCAAGACCAGAGAAAATGGGTTCGTTTGGATATCAAGAAAGTAATTTTGGAAAAATAACTTTTGGAAAGTGATTTTTTAAACATTTGTCTATCTAGTATTTGGCTCAAAGTCTAAGAATGAAGTAGAATGGAAAAGTAAGACCGTAGCCTTATTCTCGACACTAAAACGTAGTATAACCAAAAATCAACTCCCAAATATGGATTGCAAAAGTTATTTTTTAGCATATGAAAGGTGGTATAGAAAGCCATTTTGCATTGTTATCTTCAAACTTCCCTTGCTATAATTTAGTTAACATATATTGGTTCCACGAATATAGTACACTATTTAAAATAATTTTTTAATTTAATTATTTTATTTTATAAATATTAAGTAACTCTGTAAGTATGCAGTTTAAAAATACTAATTTAAAATAAAATACTGTTTTTTTGTAAAAATAATTTTTTTTTGTAAAAAAATAATTTTAATTTTTTTTGTAAAAATATTATTTTTCTTCTTGCGTTGTGGCACTGAACGTGAGGGAACAAATGCGTTGTAGCACATGAAAAAAAGTAACCCAATCAATATTTTTGTTCTTTTTGGCTAGCTATATTTTACCAAGCTTGATATTCGTAGCAAGCCATTTTCATTTTTTAGCAAGCTTGTCAAAAATTGGCAATCCCCTTGGAGCTTAAAATTTTGTTTGGCTTGTCAAATTCTATCATATAACAAGCCATTTTAGCATGGTTGGAGATGCTCTTACAAACTCAATATTGCATATATATTTCTCCAACAATAAATTACTTATTGTTACTTTATTTCTCCAAAAATTACTTATTTGGTTCAACTTCATAGAGAACAATTGAGATTGAAACATAAAACAAAGTCAATAGAGCCATTCCATAAACTCCCCTTTCAACCACAAATAAGTATACTCAACCATTTAACAAATGAACAAAAGGGGCCAATATTCCCTCTCCCAATTGAGTATGGCTCTACTCCATCTAAACCTGTCCAAGCAAGTAACATTTTTTTTCTTTAAATAAATCTGATGATCTACAAAGGAACAGGTGCCAATTTTCTTCGGCAAAATATCGAATCTTCTCGATTAGTCAAGGTAAAAGAGAGAGACAATTTTCCTCATATCTTTAGCTTCTTGACAAGTCTCCATTAGCAATCTGCTATCATGGAAGGCAAAGCAAATGACTTGCTGTACTTGTGAGATGATGTCCAAGTTACATAACCTGCACAGCAAAGAAGCTCGCCGAGTCATATATAACAACCGTATCCATTTTGGATGTTCAAACAGTCGAATCGAAACATTTGGATCTTCTCTTCCTCAACCAATGATGAAAAAATGAAACACGCAAAAGAAGACTGACAATTACCTGCCGGCTTCTATCAATGTGAGATGGTCATTGTAAGGTTTCTCTATAACATTTTTCACCTGTAAATGAAAGAATAACTTCACCAAGGGCATGTTTGTATCCCGGACAATGCAACAGGGTGAATCGAAGAAGCCAAGAAAAGTTTTTATTTTTGGTTTTAAATTTGAAAAAGAAAATATGATTTTTTTTTTTTATTTTTAACATAAATTTATGCTTGGAAAACGCCTCTCTACTTTCAAGTAGGGGTAACCGGAGAAGCCAAGGAATGCTTTTTTTTGTTTTACATTTGGGAAAGAAAATATGATTATTTTTATTTTTTAACATGAATTTATATTTGGAAACCGCCTCTCTACTTTCAAGTAGGGGTAAAGTCTGAGTCTCACTCTCCCCAAACCCTACTTTGTGTAGTATTTACTGGGTTCGTTGTTGTGCTTAACACAATCATATAAACAATAACATAAATAAATAAATATTTTTTCTCACATTTTCTCCCATAATTTACTCTTAGGGTCCGTTTGGTATACGGAATTGACAGAATAGGAATTGAATTGAAATTAAAATTCCATTGGATTCAATTCCATAGAATTGAATTCTACAAATTCCAATTCATTTTTTGAACTATCAATTCCAAATCCACATAATTTTCATTTTACCAAACGCCTGAATTGGAATTGAAGTCCTCAATTCCAATTCCATAATTTGAATTCCGTGTACCAAACGGGGCCTTACATTTTCCTTCATGTTCTCTCTAGTAATTTCCCGGTACCAAATGGACCCTTAACACACATATTGAAAGAGCTAAGAAACTACTTGTCCACTACCAAGGGAGGGGTGTTCTCAACCACATTTTCATTAATGGCAGGAAATAAAAGTAAAACAGCTCTTACTTTAGACAGCAACTCTTGGCTTTCGGGCGGCTGCTTGCTCAGACTTTGTGGCAATATGACAGTCAGCAGTTCCGGTTTCTCAGCACGGAGCGCACCTCTTATAACTGCAGCATTGGTCCCTGAGGCACCCGACGTAAAAATATGGTTTTTCTGGAGGAAAATGAATACCACAAAAAAATCACAACCAGAAAGTAAAACAAAAAAGGTTTAGAAACCATGAAAAGGTACAATATTCACTACTTATTAAATCAACACCATCATAATACCGTTATAACCAGAGCATAGCTAAGAATCTCAACAAGTTCTTGATGCATGAATCCCATATTCCGAGTTCCAAAAAAACCAATGTTTCTTGGACCTTGTTGTTGAATTGCTAATAGCTCCTGCCAGACAACAAGTCTTTGTTTAAGCGAGTTCACCAAGTTAGTTGCAAATTTAGGAAGAGAGGATAATGAGATACCTGTAAATAATCCACATCAGGAACTGGCTTGTATTCTGCAACCAGAACTGCACCAGGCCCATCAACAACAGATTGGGCTTGGGTTGGAATTTGAGCAGAAACTTCTTCACCCGACCCAAACATCTGAGTTGTTGCATATTCATCTTCATTCGTTACACCACTGTTACTTCTTAGAGCTCTCTTATCATCTCCATGAAGCCACTATACCAGCACATAGAAAACAGAATCCCCTGGCAGTAAATCATTTATGAAAACCCAAAAGATGCATATAAAGAGAAGATTTGCAGCAGCCAGTAGGTTCTCTTTTGCATGGAAAACTAAATACTTTGAATTTTGAAAAGGAACCAACACCGAAACTTAGATTAGGAATCAAATGAACTTTGATATACTACGACCACAAGCTTGAATATAAATTCCTTAACATTCAATGCACAACTTTTTTAGGGAAAAAAGATACTCCATACAAAATTTGCATTGATTAGGAAATTTATAGGCAATTTTGTTCTGCACAAACAAAATGAGGATATGCAATAATGAAAGATTACATTTGCAATAAAGTTTCCTACACTACAACAAAAAAAATCAATTCTAGACACTTAACTCTACATGCTTGAGGGTAGCGTTGCACCCTCATTTGAAGAAAATAAGTTCAAGATGTTTATCAAAGCCAGTACATGCACACTTTTAAGCGTCAAGAATATATCAATATTTTTGATATTGTGTCTGGCCAATTGTAGACCACTCTTTTGATATCCTTATCTTTTTCTCTTTCAGTTCTTCTTATCTCTTCGTTTCTCCCTATCTCTAGCCCTTTGTTTCTCTCTACTCCACCTTCTTCATCATTTCCTTTCTCTAGATCTATTAATTATCTTTGCATTTTCTTTCCATATAAGAATTAAAAAATCAATCTCATATGCCAATGGAAACAAATCAAGTAAGGTGATGTGAAGCGAATGCCGTCGCTAAGACTATCATTTGCATCTCCACTGCTCATCAGAAAAATGTGAGTTTAGATCTACAATTCTTATAACCAAATTTATTACGAAATATGTCCCCATCTATTTTCAAAATAAATAATGGGAAGAAATATACTCTAGATCTAAAAAAGGTTATTGGAACACCGAACACGATATGTTCATCGTTATAACAAGTATAGCTAGATCTGGAACACAGTTCTTAATTTTTTTGCAATATATGCTTATGCATATTATTTAGCTGATTTTGATTTTATTTCTATCGGCGATTTGGCGCATAAATTGAGCTCTACAACCTTATGCCGGAGAACACACTTCACCAAAGTCATTTTGAAGAGCAAACTTAGTTTATCATCAGATTTTTTATTTTTATGATTATTCTACATAAAGAGTTCATGATGTTGCAGATTTTTTTTGCACTTAGAATTAGGGAGATGACATTTCATATTGAATATACAGAGTACTAGCTAGAGTTGTGTAACGCGCAAGCTGTATACGGAGTAATTTTTTTCGATCATCTCCAAGCTGTATAATTAAATGTGCCGAATTGAATTTTTTTACTCCCTCTCATATCTTTCTTCTCACTTTCCTTTTTGGATTGCCCCATATTCTACATAAATTGAGCTCTACAACCTTATGCCGGAGAGCACACTTCACCAAATTCATTTTGAAGAGCAAACTTAGTTTATCATCAGATTTTTTTATTTTTATGATTATTCTACATAAAGTGTTCATGATGTTGCAGACTTTTTTGCACTTAAAATTAGGGAGATGACATTTCATATTGAATATACAGAGTACTAGCTAGAGTTGTGTGACGCACAAGCTGTATACGGAGTAATTTTTTTCGTCATCTCCAAGCTGTATAATTAAATGTGCCGAATTGAATTTTTTTACTCCCTCCCATATCTTTCTTCTCACTTTCCTTTTTGGGTTGTCCCATATCTTTCTTCCCGTTTCCTGAAATGGGAAAAAATTTAATTGTTAAAGACTATTTTACCCTTGTAAAATACGGAATACACTCAATGGCTCCTTCCTAATTTCTGCCGTCAGCCATCTTCTCAGTTCCTTCTTCCATGGAGCAGCGATTCAAAGAGGGAGAGTCGCAGACGGTGGTGGCGATACACAACGCCCGGGCTGGATTTAAAACCCTAACCCTCGGCTCTGGTTTTTGATGGTGTGCAGCCACAGAGCAAAGGAAGAAGTTTATTCATTCCTTCAATTTTTTATAAGCAAATCAAACAATTTATCCGTTCCTTAAGGGTTTCTTTTCTTTCTCTTTTGAAGGTGCGTTATAAATTTACTTTGGGGTTGTTTTTTGTTTCTTTGAGGTGGATCTGAGCTTGGGGTGAGGTTCTTCTTATCTATCAGAACAAAATTGGGGATTTTGTTTTTCTTTGGTTTGATCTCTTTTTGGGAATTTTAAGCTTCAAATCTGGGAATCCAGTTTTCTTCATATGTCGTCACTTTTATTCATAAGCAGATTCGTTTGTAGGTCTCCAATTTGTTTTGAGATCCATTTATATTTCTTTGATTTTCTCTACGAATTTCATTTCTTGAATGTGATGAGATTGCTTTTGATTTCATTTTGTTTTTTGATTTTTATTTTGAGGAAGAAAAGAATAGAATTGTGGTGAAAGCGCAAGTTTGAGGTCAACAAAGATTTGTGGTGAAGAAGAAGAATGGAGAGCTGGGCAGTAGGTGGAAAGCACAGGTTTGAGGTCGACAAAGAGGAGACGAGGGCAGTAGGTGAAAGGGAAAAATAGGAAAGTCAATACATATTACATTTAACATTAAAAACCATGCCAAGTCAGTACGGGAAGAAACATATGGGACGGAGGGAGTAATCTGTTCTGCTACGTGTTTTTACTTAAATTTATAAAAAACAAAAATATAAACACAAAATGTGCCAATTTTTGTATAAAATCAATTTTTATATTCAGCTGTTATAAGATGAGAAAAAGTAGACATTTGCAAATTTCTAAGTGTTGAGCTTGATTCTAGACACAAGATTTCCTGACATCTCACCAAAGTGTGTAGATTGTTTTTTTTACTCACTAGCAACTGTCTAGATTCTACCAAATAAATGTCAAGAATCGGCTCTTTTCTTGTAGTGCTACCAATTGTGTAACTGTAAATATGAGATCACACACATGTTCATTTCCTGGTTTGTACAAAGTGCTGAGCTTTATGGAAGAACGCTTCAGGCAAAGCTGGAATATATGCATACTTCCATTCATGGAAATAATATACTTCGTATTCACTTTTTAGGATAAAACATAGAGAACTAAAAAGGTCAAAGGTGTGGCAGGTGGAAAAGTAGTTGCCGCCGAGTGGCAAGGTGAAGACGAAACAAGCTTACTTGTGATTCTGAGATAGGTTACATACTGACATGATAGGAAGATGATAAGAGCCTAACTGTGATTCCTTGAAGAGCAAAGGGTGAAGGGTTCCTTACTTCCTTTAGATTGTGGAAAATACTAGGAAATAGTAATTCTTTGTAGGAAAGGAAATAAAGGAAGAAAATAGGAATGTAAGAAAACGGGGGTAAGGGGTTAAGGATAAAACTATATACTAGTAATATATCAATGATTCTCATTCCGTTTACTTATTTAGTTTTGTTATATATTCCCTCTTTCCCTAAATACAAACCCACTTCGACCAAGCTTGTCCCCGAAATGAAAACAATGTGATTGAGATAAACAAAATGAATCACATAATGTGATTGGGACGGAAGAACAAGGGGAAGACAAATTAGGGGTACGGAGAGAAAGAGCGTAAAGATTAAGAAATGAAATAAACGTAAATGTAAATATAAAATGGGTAATCAAAGTCCACTTTCCAAGGTAAAACCTAAACTAAGATAGAAACCAATGGCAACAAGAAGAAAGACAGATAAATTCCATGACTGGCATAACATATATATATCAAGCACACTTAATCAATCAATCTAGTTGAATGCCATTGGCATCAAGCAGAGAAAAAAAATACTGGGTATCAAGCAATCAGTCCAACTAGATGCAAATTGTCTGAAATTCAGCATCAACATGGAAAAGGGGTGCCTCAAAAGTGAAAACAATTGCTCTACTTAGCTCAGGCCACATGAACTCAACTGAAAATCAGGTCAATTTTATTTCTTCTTTTCTTGATCTACCAAACCCAGAACACAAAAAGAAGAAAGGAAAAGAACACACAATCTTAATAAACGATGAAGAAAAATGCGAAGGCGAGTGAAAAGAAGGGGAGAAACATACCGCATGCGTCCGATTAGACGACGCCCGTGGCGAATCGCGACTCCTGAGAGCTGAAGAAGCGGAACAAGAAGACAGAAACTGGGCTGGAGAGTAGTGATTGAGCGACAAATGGACAGTTTTGGAGAAATTTTGAGGAAGAGGGGACACAGACAGCCTTAATCCCAGCGAAGAACTGCCCATTCTTTCTCCGATTGTTGTCTTCCTGAGCTGCAAACAAACCCACCTACAGGGGGGAGGCGGATGTTTGGTTCTTTATTTATTTATTACAGTACTAGAGAAGGATTCTGTGTGAGTTTGGCCCCCCTTTTTCAATTTGCTTTTTGCCACAAATGACAAACCCACGTAGGTAGAAAAAAGGGATTTTTTTTTTTTGCAAAATGATTTTTTAAGTGAAAAAGAAAGGTTTCCTTACTTTTTTTAGTGTGACTTTATTACAATAATGATTATCTGTTCGAATTATTCTTAATCTAATGATGCCAACATCCTGCCTCCGCTTTGTTGGAACTTGAACTTGATTACTTGAGTGAACTTCCTTATGAATCTTGTGTAGTGAGCATTCTACCACTCAAGTCAGGGGAGAAGTTCAAATCGTTTCATTACTACAACAAAGAACAAATGAAATCTTGGATACTAGAGTCCCAAAACCTGCACAATGAGACTCAACACTCCGAACTTATGTATGAGCAATAACATTAAAATTACGTCTAAAAAACAAAAATGGAAACAAAATAAAAGTCAGTCGATATCTAATCCCTACACGCCATCACTTCATAAGTATTTCTCAAATTTTTTTGCTTTGATAAAAGAAATTAAGTTCGAAATATAGAATATGTCAACTACTACTTTCCCAAAAAAATTGTTTTGCCTTTTTTTTTGTCAAAATAGGAAAAAAAAAATTGAGACGAAAAAGGTAATTCCTATTTTAAGTCTTATACTCACTCCTTTACAAAACAAGCCTAAATGTTTTTTAGTAAAAGAATTTGTATCATCAACATTGTTTCTTTTTTTTTTAAGAAACATTATTTTTTAATGTTATTGACTCTATTATAATGTACTCCGTAATATTTATTTATAATATTCTCAATTTAATGACACATATGGAGGCACGCCTCTACCTTCGCTGGGACTCGAACCCAAGTAAACTTCTTTATGAATTTTGAGAAGTGGATTTCCTACCACTCAATTCAGAGACGTTTCTTTAATTTCTAAAGAAAAATTAAATAACAAAATTTCAGTTTTTTATTTGAAATTCATTTTGATACAAATGAAGTACGTAGTAGTTAATGTGAACTAAAAAAAATAAAATCCCTTCCCCTTTACATCAATCCCACATAATGGCAAGGCAAATGCAACAATAGAAATTGTCCCAAAAGAGATCCACAAACAGTCATAATAATAATCAATCAATGCACAGAAGAAGAAGAGCAGCAAGCAAATGGAACCCAGTATGTCTTCCCTTTCTTCCTTTCCTTCTTGATATCAACTGATGGACGATACCTTGCTGGGGAATCCCATTCTTTATCCACCTCCTTCAGCTGGCCCTCCTCTGACATTAGAATCGAATTCACCGTGGTGGTGGTGGTGACTTTGGAAGAAGCAGTGGCAGTTTCGTCTTTTTTAGGCGATTTGGCCTCCCCCAACAGGCTTTTCAAGGGAGTGTGTTGTTGTTTCCAGTTTGTGACTTTGGCAATTCTCTCCTCCTCGTTCTTCGTCCTGCCTTGCTGGGACTCTTCATTCCCAACAGCAGCGGCTTCATCAGATGGATCTTTGTGCACGTTCTGGTCAACAATGTCGTCGAATGTGTGAGGGTCTCTTTCAGCTTGTGCTGTTGTCTCCTGCAAGCTGGGCTTCTCCTGTGCTCCTCCATCAACATGCAGGGTTGACTCTGAGTGGATAGAAAGCACAGTTTTCATTCATTCGTTCATCATAATGGCCGTACAATCAGTTGATATTTTATGAAACAATGACATGATGGGCTCTTGCAAGATAACTGATTTTCTTGACTAGATCAAGGCAGTTTTTTTTACACTTCTGGGTGGTAAAAAATGGGGAGGTAACCCTTCACTTTTCACTGCACACTAATCCCTAAACCGTTGTTTGTTTTTTTGGTGTGTGTGTGTGTGTGAGAGAGAGAGAGAGAAAGAGAGAGAGAGAGAGAGAGTGTGTGTGTGTGTGTGTGGGTGTGCAAGATAGTACCTGAAACAGATCCCCAGTTGGCTTCCAAGCTATCAGTTCTGCTACTTGATGCAACTGATTTATCAACTACAGTGGCACCACCATCTTGCTGCTTCCCGGGTTTGTCATCATCATCTTCACCCTTCTTTACAGGAGGAAGAGAACAAACCTCAAGAGCTCTTTTAGCATCTACCACCACATCATTGTTTCCCAAATTCATGTCGTGGTGACGAGAAATTGAAGAAGCTTCTATCACACTTCCATCTTTTCTTTCATCAATCTCATCTGCACTGGTTGATTCTACTACCACTGTTGAAGAATCATGCATCGGTTCTGTGTTTCCCATATCGTCGTTTGCATCAACTTTTTCTCTGTGCTCACTCCCAGCTATCTGTGAGTCAGCAGAATGCTGATCCGGTAAATAATCTTTGTTGCTCTCATTTTCAGCAGTAAAAGTCATTCCACAATCATAAATGATTTCACTTCCTCCAGATATAATAGCTTGCTTGTCTTCCTCGCAAACACGAGGAGCAGTAGAATTATCATTTGAGCCGTCCAGTGGCTTGCACTGCAAAGATTCATCCTCCATAGGCAAACTATTAGTTGGCTCAAAGTTCAATATCTGTGGCTCCAAGGTAGATGTAGCAGGTCCTGATCCACAAGATCCAAAATGGTCATCTTTTATCACCATTGATACATATGAATGAGAACTTTCCTCAATGGGATTCTTAATATCATCTGCCTTGGCATCTAAGATTGTGGGAATAGATTGTGTAACTTCCTCTCTCAAATGACTTTCTGAAGACTCGTCCTCCATAGAAAGACTGACAGTTGGTTCCATGGTTAATGCAGGTGACTCCGGAGTAGCTGTAGCAGATACCAATCCATAAGATTCAAGCTGTTCGTTGTTTATCACCTCTGATCCACCTATATCATTTCCCCCCTCAGCCAGAACTTTGTCACCATCTTTCCTAATCTCATCTCCCGAAGCATCCAAGATTGTTGGAGGCCCAAGTAGGTGCTGGTCAGGCTTACAAGCATCATTATCCTCTAGAGTGCTTTTATCATCATCTTGTGTAGAGCTAAGTGGTTCAATACTGGTGTCCATGTCAAGTGCAATAGTGGACTTCAAAGATCCCCAATCTTTGTGATCTTGAGAATAGTTTATAGATGATATGCTTTCATCCACAGATAGCATATGCATATCTTTATCTCCAACAAACTCATATTGGCTTTTGTCCTCCGTGCCCATATCATGCATTGTAGTAGAATCTTGAAGAAAGACATCACTGCTATCATTTTCAGCAGTAAAAGACATCTTTGTTTTATCTATTCCACAATCATAAATAATTTCACTTCCTTCGGATATAATAGCATGCTTGTCTTCCTCGCAAACATGAGGAACAGAGGAATTATCATCTGAGCCGCCCAGTGGCTGGCACTGCGAAGATTCATCCTCCATAGGCAAACTATTAGCTGGCTCGAAGTTCAATATCGGTGATTCCAAAGTAGATGTAGCAGGCCCTGATCCACAAGATCCAAAAATCTCATCATTTATCACCTTTGATCCATATGAATGAGAACTTTCCTCAATGGGATTCTCAATATCATCTGCCTTGGAATCTATGATTGTGGAAATAGATTGTATAACATCCTCTCTCAAATGACTTTCTGAAGACTTGTCCTCCATAGAAAGACTAATAGTTGGTTCCATAGTTAACGCAGGTGACTCCGGAGTAGCTGTAGCAGATACCAATCCATAAGGTTCAAAATGTTCATCATTTATCAACTCTGATCCACCCATATCATTTTTCCCATCAGCCAGAACTTCACCACCATCTTTCGTAATGTCATCCCCCAAAGCATCCAAGATAGTTGGAGGCCCAACTAGTTGCTGGTCAGGCTTACATGCATCCATTACGAACTGAACATTATCCTCTAGAGTGGTTTTATCCTCATCTTCTGTAGAGCTAAGTAGTTCAATACTGGTGTCCATGCCAAATGCAATACTGGACTTTAAAGATCCGTGATCTTGAGAATATTTTAAAGATGATATGCCTTCATCCACAGATAGCATATGCACATCTTTATCTCCAACAGACTCATATTGGTTTTTGTCATCAGTGCTCATACCATGCATTGTAGTAGTAGAATCTTGAAGAAAGTCATCACTTTCTTCACCAACCTCTAAGTTTCCACATACATTCTCGCTCGGGCTACTACTCTCTTCATTTGCCTCTTGCAGTACTTCATCAACTGGAGCATCGACGATATTTGCATGTTCAAAGTCTTTTGCACAAATATCTTGATGTCTATCATCACTCAATGGGGAATTCTCAGTTGTTTCTTTCTCATCCTCCACGGATTCCAGTTGTTGACCATTTGTTTCGTCAAGCCCAATTGTACTTTCTTTAGATGTTGATCCAAGCAGAGTCGAAGCATCCGGTGACTTCATTTCACTTTCCACCTGTTGAAGATCTCCTATTTGGAGTGTCCTTGATGGATCATCAACTGGTTCAAAAGCATATGGTTTTAATAAAGTAAGTTCTATTTATTGGGCAGTATACAGGGAAAAAAACAACCAAACCACCCTAAGGTAATATAGATGTATTCCAAATTTCTACGACAAATGTAAATAATACTCCGTATAATACAAAGAAAAATGCTACTTTAAAATCAGGGATGACACCAAGGTTGAAACATTGTCGGTAAACACTGACAGCATCATTCTTGGTGTCATCATGGTGTAACTATAGCATGACCCATACACTCCGTACAAAATATGGAATAATAATTACGCCACATTTTCAAGCCTGCAAGACATTAAAGATGCAAATTTCATGGCAATAACTTCCCTTAATATCATCAAGTCGAAAAGGGAAATCCTACATCACATGACAACAACGAATCTCATCAAATTCTTACCAATACTAGCATCAACCTTGAGCAATCCATCGCCCTCCTCCTCAAACTTCTCCACATCCCTAACCAACTTCCGAACAACCTCGGAACCCTCATCCATTCCGGGACTAAGTCCACTATCAGAGAACTCTGCCATAGCATCGGAGAAATGCTCGTCTTCTGATCTAGTAGCAGACTGGCAGCTGCCAGCAACCTCCTTCAAACTTTTGCCTTCAATCTTAGGACCTTATATAAACACAACCAAATTCAGAAACCCCCCAAAAAAGCAAAACAACAGAAACAGATTGTTTATTTATGAACACACAACAGGTAAATCATACTTGGGGTCCGACCCTCGTCCGATAGTGGTTGTTCTTCTTCCTCTGAAATTGCCAAAGGGGTAAGTTCAGGTTGAATGACCTTGTGCCCATCAATGGTTCCACATACCTTCTTATGGGCTCTCCTGTGTTTAGCACTCGGGTGTGGGTTCGGGAAAGGCCACCCACATTTACTGCACAAGTAAACCCCGTGTCCTGAAAATTTTCAAGAAATTAAAATCCCCTCATTTCAAATCTATCAAACCCCAAGATTATAAAAAGAACACTTTTTTTCCATCATAATTTACATCACCCCAGTACCCTACGACTAAAACTCAGCAAGAACATAAATGATATGCTTCCAGTGGAAAACCCAAACGAAAAAGAGAGGAATTAATGAAAGGCGCAAACAGACCTGACGATATCGGAGCTCTGTGATCTCGGTTCTCCATGTTCTTTCAAGAAAACATGTAGAGAAGGCGAGCAATGCGGAGTCTATTGACAGTGAAGGGAAATAAAATGGAGTGCGAGACCGAGGGGCGAGGGTTCTGATTGGAGGTTGTTGGCAAGAAAGACAGAAAGAGCTGGAAATAGCACAATCATTAGAAATAAATTGCGGAGTATTCATTAAATTTAATGGTCTGTTTGATAAGTAAACAATATTATAAGGTTTGATATCTTCATATATCAAAATTTATTTTGGATGTTTGGTAAAGCCAAAAATGATACTCCGATATTGAATTTGATTTTTCTAGATATTATAAATTCTTCAAATAGAGGATTTAGTAACATGCGAGTTTGATATCTTTCTCAATCACTAATCATTCTCTGTCACCGGCTATCATTGTCATTTGTCACCGCCAACCACTCCGTTGTCGGTCACCTCCGCTTATCACTGATTAAATCATAATTTTGAATCTCTCCAAACAACTTTGTTTCAGACAAAACACATATCATTTTTATAATTTTATTGCTCATATCTTATCATATCTCCAAAATTCACGAAATAGTCTCAAAGTTATTCGGAGTATGTCTAGTAGTTGCCAATAAAAATTTAATGTCTAATAAAAATGAACAATTTTTTTGCTCCTAATTTTTTTTCCTTGTTTTTTTCTTGTCCCAAAATTCATTTCTCCTTCTGGTGAATCGAGAACAACGGACAAAATTTCGGATAATATTAATCAGTTACATTTAAAATCAGAATCCATTTTCTACTCTTTGTTTTTCAATATGAGAATTTCAATAAATTTCTTCCTTAAATCACATAAAAATTAAATTGAGAATGACTTGTAAGGGATGATGGGGTACTTACTACGTGGTCATTATACACACAAATATACGGCTAATTCAAGATTAATTGCTTGCTATGATAAAGAAGATGGATTTGTGGTGGTAAGATAGATCATGTGCGCATTCTAGCACCCTCATGTGCTGCGACTTTTCAACATGATTGGGGCTTTTTTTGTCCTTTTGGAGGATCCAATGTCCTCTCATCTAACTAAAATTTAAATATTGTTTGGATTAGAGAAGAAAATGAGATTATTGGAAATGAAAAGGAAAGAAAATAAAGAAAAAATAGAAAAAAAAATAGATGTTGTTTGGACGGATAGAAAAATACGAGTAAGAAAAAAAGTATAGAGGACAGATAATGTGATTGTGTAAAATTACATTTTTATTCTTGTTTCTTTTTGAAAGAGCATGCAACATGCGGAGTATTACAAAATAGAAGGACAAAAAAGTAATTTAATACGGATTACTATTCTCTTTCCTATGCTTCGTGTTTAGGGAATACTCCGTATTTAGCTTCACTTTTCCCTTTGATTTCAGTTCTCTCCAAATTTTCTCATTAAAGCAAACAAAAGAAAACACGTTGAAATACTCTATATGTTTTTTCTCTTCTCTTTTTCTTTCTCTCTATATTCTCTCCATCGAAACATACACTTCATAAAATCTCGTATTATAAAATTTGTTTTGGATTAAATCGACTTGTTAGTTTGGTATTCGAAAAGACTATGAAATATTTTTCCTTCATCGAACATACTCCTTAAAAAATTGATCATACATGAGATGGTGGCGTTTTTTGTGAGGGTATTTAAAGCCACCGGGTACTCTCCAAATAAGCATGTTATAGTAAGAAGAGGACTACGCATAAGGAAACCATAAACTAGATTGATAGGATATGATTTTTGATTGATTTAGAAGTTAATGTGTTGATTTTATTTCCATCTCTATCATGGTAAGGAATCTATATCTAACAATCCAAAGTGATAAGATCATAATAAAATTGTTATCTTCTTACTTGATCTTCTTTTTTTAGGAAGTTAATTGCCACTCAGTGTGATCTTGTGATGCGCTCGTGTATCAAAATATACTATACGGCATTCGGGGATATTCGTGATAAGAATAAAAAATTATGAAAGTAGCAAAAACAAGAGTCATGGGTCTTTTAAAACTAAAATGAGAACTTACTCTACATTGTTATAATGTCACACTCATCACATTGTCACATATTAACTACCACATTATCACTCCCACATTACCTACTTTTTCAAACTTTTAAGTATTTTATAAGTTAGCTTATATGCACAACAAAATACACTATCATTTGACCTATGATTTAAAAACAACTTATAAACCTAGGGAACCACTTATAACATTCTCCATCCGTCTCAAATTAGCGCTCTCAGCGTGACTTTGTGTGAAGTTTAAGAAAAAATGAAATTGTATAATTAAAAATCTTGCTGATGAAAAGAAAAAAGGTTAGCCACAAAAAGCTTTCCAAAATAAGGAAAGAAAAAGACTAATCTGGGACAACCCAAAAAAAATAAGGAGGATTAGTTTGGGACGGAGGAAGTATTTAATAACAAATGTTGGTTTCAAGCAAAAGGGCAATACTCTCTTCGTCTCTAAATTATTTATACAGTTTACTATTCAAAAATTGTGAGAATTTTTATTTATTTGTATATTTTTATTGATTACGGAGTATTTGATGAAATAAAATATTTTTGTCACATCTTATTTTGTAGGACTTGTGATGTACTTTTTAAATATGTAAATTTTATTTTTTTTATTTATATACCTATTTTAAACTAAATCAATTGAAAAAAATTAAATTTTATTTTGTTTATGTAAAGAGTAAATGATTTAAGAACGAAATGCACCATTATTCCATTCATACCAAAACCATGGCAACTCTGGAGTGGCCTACGTGCTAACGAAATGTTAAATGGTCTATGTGAGTATGTGACCATGTGCAATTGGTATGTTAACACATGTTTAGTTGTATTCAATTAGAATTAGAATTATGACTAAATTTAACAATTTTTTTATACCAATGTCTTTACTCAAATAAAACTATTCAATATTATTTCATTGCGTAATGTATGAAAAGACATTGATGTTGGAAATAGCAGTCAAATGCACCCCAACGTTATTTTTTAAAATTTTGTAAAGCTCATGAATGGTTTTATTTTATGCAAATTCATGATTCATGAAATATGTCATTTGATTCATAAAATACGAAAGTGTCAAAAGACAAAAACATAAATATTTTTTATTCAGTCTCATTATCATGAATGTATGCATGTATCTATTTATTTATTTATATGAAATAAGATTAAAAAATACTCCCTATAACAATTTATTATTATTTGCAAGGTAGAGACAAAAAATATCTAAATTCAAAAATCTTTCATTTCCCCATATTCTTTAATTTCATTAACGGTATGTTTGGAAACATGGATTTGGATTTCAAATCCAGATTTGACTCAAATTCCATGTTTGGAAAACTTACAAATTTTGAATTTGGATTTGAATTAAATTATTCTCATTCATAACAAAGCTTAATTTTAAATCCATGCACCTCCCCTTGTCATTTCAAATTTAAGATTTCAAATTTTGGAATTGAAATACATGAATTGAAATGAAATCCTAGTTGCCAAACACTACCTAAGGGAAGATCAATTTCCATACTCTCTCTCAAATATACACCTTAGTATTTCTTCTTGATAAAGTTTAAATGGATTATCAATGACCACAAAGTCTATCCTATATATATATATGTAAAAGAGAGTTTAGTTGTTGCAATGTTGACATGTGGCATGCCACATGTGCATCCACATGTGCACCCATTTATGAAGTGGATATATGCATTGCACCTATTTTAAATATCTTTTAATACATTTGTATAAAATTTTTCATTCTTTAATAATTCTGAATATATATTTCACCATTGTAAAATAAACTTCGTATTTTGAGTACACACACATAAAATTATTTTTATACTATCCACGGCTTATTTTAGTTTATTACTTCTCGAAAAANATAAATTTAAAGGGTGACAACTGACAAATGACATTATGATACATATATATTCTCTAATGATGTATCATTATGCATGTAACTAATCCACTTTTTATTATAATATTTTATTAATTAAACCATTTCTATTTAGTACTTAATTCAATGATTATTAATTTTGTAAAATTGTTTTTTAAAATTAACATACCAATATACTCTGTATGTTCCATCAGTCTAAAACATTTTTTGTCACTATTAGAAACTAAAACAACTAAAATTATATTTATAAAATCTCAAAAAATAAGAATATCTACGAGCCCGTGCGAAGCACGGGGTAAACACTAGTATTTTGTACAATGTACAAACGCTCGACTTTGATAAAATTTCCCTATTGGCATGATAGTGATTTTCTCTCGATTTCAGCTTCCTCGTTAAAAATAGTTTGTTCATATTTTTAATGATTGTTAAACTCATTTATCATTTTGATACAGTAAAAATAATAAAACCAGTCAAAATAATTAACACCAGAGACTATACAATTTGTTTCAATTTTTTACAGTATATGATATTTTTTGTTTTCATTTCAAAGTGTAAGACATATTTATATGTAAAAATAAGAGTAGACACACTATTATGTGTGTATGTGTAGTATGTAATTCCTTTTACAATATAGAGCTTGCATAGAAAACACAAAGCAATCTTTTACAGAAAAAGATGAAAATTATTACTTCGTAACCAATTATTACGTATTGAATAAAAATATCAAAAGTATTTATGTACATTGTAGTATAATTTGACTCTGAAAATTTAGAATCTGATACAGTTATAAGTACTAAAAATCAGATAAATATTGAAAATCAAAACAATATAATTTGACTTTGAAAAATTAGGAAATATGTACTTTAAAAAAGAGAATATCAGCAAATGTACATACAATTCTAATTTACAGTATTTGTCAAGAGCGATATCTAATAAAAATAAACACATGCGAATATGATAATTGCACATTTGATTTTATTAACATAAGTTTACACCCCAGATGAAACATAAAAAAATTCGAATACAAATTATACAATATTTTCACATAGTATCACAAATCATTTAATCCTCCAAACCGAGAATTTCTAGTAAGAAGTGAGAACAAATAAGAACTTGTGCGCGGCGTTATGTGGCATGTCTGTTTGGACAATTGGACCTCGAATTGGGTCAAAATAGTCAACTACTGATCGAAACCAGTAGTAAAACCACAGTGCTAAACGGTCAAACGCCCCGCTTCCGATCTCCGCCCTTCACGCTCCGTCGCCCGCACAACCGTGGGAGGATTGAAGAACCATCAGGTCAATATTCTCACGTGCCGCTTTATCTCCCTCTTTACTGTAAATTTCCTAGGGTTGGGTTTAAGAATGGTTCGAGACAGCGGCATTACAGGCCAACTCTTGGTCTTTTCTTTTGGTCCCTGTAGTTTCTTTCTGCACAAGGGAAATTCCAAGGGATGCGCAAATTGCTTCTTTAAAACGCACTTGGCGTGTGCCATTTCTTCTCCGACGATCCATCACCCCCCACTTCTCTGAGTCTGTCAGGCAATTTCACGAACAGGTTGGGTTTAATGTCACTCATTCAGTGATCAAAGCATCGTTTTTTCTTGTCCCCATTACTAATCTGACTCTGTTTCTGTTCTCTTTGAATTACTGACGTTTATGAAACAGACGAAAGAATGCGGCTTTCATCCGTTTCTCAGGAACCCACGAAACCCGCTGGTTATTTGTCCAATTTTGACTCCTCAGTGTTCGATCACTCACAGAAGCCTATCTGCCGAAATTTCGCTTCTTGCGGCGTTTTGCCCAACCCCTTGTACTTCAATGGTTTGGGTGGACGAAGTCACGTCAGCAAGCGTAAAGTATTGTGTTTGAGTACTGCGGGAAGTGCTTCTGCTAGGATTGGTAGGGCGCTCAATCTGTTTAACAGAGCTATTAGGATCCATTGTGAAAAAGTCCCTCTGGGGTTTGCTTCAATTCAAGCTGGTTCTGTGGAGTCTAATGGGGTGTCAAGAGATGGGAATGGAGTGTTGGAGGATGAAGGAATCCACATCAGTGCAGTTCAAGATGATGCCCCAAAAACTGTGCTAATTTTAATGAGTGATACAGGAGGTGGACACAGGGCCTCGGCTGAGGCCATTAAGGCTGCATTTAGTCAAGAATTTGGTGAAAAGTATCAGGTTTGGGTTTTTTTATGGAATTATTTATGTTCTTGTATCTAGAGTTAAATTGGTGTGTGAATTTTTGCTTGGGATGAGGGTTGCTTTTTGTATTGGTGCCATATATGTTCATAATGGATATTTTTATCAGGTAATTGTATGTGATCTATGGACTGAACATACTCCATGGCCATTTAACCAATTGCCCAAAAGTTACAGTTTTTTGGTTAAGCACTCGTCCTTGTGGAAGATGACTTATTATGGTTCTGCTCCTCGTCTTATTCACCAATCCAATTTTGCTGCAACTTCAGCTTTTATTGCGAGGTGAAACTTAAGTTTAATTCATATTTCCCTTTTGTTATTTCTTAGAATCTCTTCTAAAGTAGAAACCCACAGTGTAGCACTAGAAACCCGCAGGTTATTGTTAGTGGCTTTAAAGTTTAAACTGCTACACTGCAGGTTTCTACTTTAGAAAATATTAGAATTAGATGCACACTTGTTTATTCCATGTAGTGACTATATGTAGGTAATGTATGTTGTTAAAGACCAGATTATGTAGTCATATTCTTTGTTATGTAGAGTTATTGTTTTGTCCGCCAAGTATTAAATTTTAATGGTTCCATATTATAAGGTTGATAGAGAATTATAACAATTGTCCTATACTTGATATTTGTTTTTTTGAATTACTAGTTAGTTGATTCTTGGGATACTTTCTTCTGAATAATTATGTAGGGAAGCTGCAAAGGGTCTTATGAAATACAAACCGGATATTATCATAAGTGTACATCCTCTTATGCAACATGTGCCACTTCGTATCTTGCGAGCAAAAGGTCTCTTGAACAAGATTGTTTTTACAACAGTGGTGACAGATTTATGCACTTGTCATCCAACATGGTAGGGTTATTGATTGTACTGCAATAATGGCATAGATTGTCAACAGAAGTTACATCTTTTGTTTCTTTTGTAGGTTTCACAAGCTTGTAACAAGATGCTATGCACCTTCAGATGAGGTAGCACATCGGGCAATTAAAGCAGGTCTTCGGTTTTCTCAAATCAAAATCTTTGGCCTTCCAGTGCGTCCATCCTTTGTCAAACCTGTTCGGCCTAAGGTTGCTCAAAACATCTGCCTTTCCCCTTTTTTCTTTGTTCTTGTTCATTTCTTGAATAAGTGAAACTCAATTGGGATGTTTTCTAAAACCTTCTAAAATATTTTTTTATTATAAACCCATTTGACTTTTTTAAAAAAAAGTCATTTTGTGTTCCACCGGTGTGAACAACATCTTTTCAAAACTTTATCCTTTGCCTCTTTTTTTTTCTTTGATGATGATCACTTCTTAAATATCTCAAACTTATTAGTGAAGTTTAAAAATGCTTCGTTAACCTTTGAGAATAACTTTCGAAAGTTTCCTCTGCATAAGAAATAGAAAATTGATAATAAGTTTTTCATGCAATTCTCTTTCTTATTGGAAGTGTTGTATGTTATATACTCTCTTGTTTATTTGTTATGCACTTTTTTTAACCAATTCATACAATCATGTGTGCCAAACCATTTGCAGAGCTATTCTTAAACTTTTTTTATTTGATATAACTAGGATGAATTGAGGGATGAGCTTGGTATGAATGTAGAACTTCCTGCTGTCCTTCTAATAGGTGGTGGCGAAGGAATGGGTCCCATTGAGGCTACTGCTCGTGCACTCGACAAAGCACTGTATAATGCTAAACTTGGGGAACCAATGGGTCAACTACTTATAGTATGCGGGCGCAATAAGAGGCTTACCGACAAATTACTATCCATTGACTGGAAAGTTCCAGTCAAGGTGTGGTTACCCTATTCATGCTGTCTTCACTTATTTTCACACAAATGCAAAACATTTTGATTAACAACCTCAGTTTTCATTTAGACTTTGGACATTATATCTTAGGATTATATAAACCTTTGTTTTATTACATCTTTGAAGGAGCTAGTTGCAAATTATGTTAATTTGCATTTCCATTTTACACATGTTCTTCTCAGTATGATAAGATATTTATAGAGATTCACTTTCATCTGTGTGGCAAATTAGGTAAAGGGATTTGTCACCAAAATGGAAGAGTGCATGGGAGCCTGTGATTGCATTATATCCAAGGTAACGTTGTTCGTCATCATCACTTTTTTTATGCATCGAAGAGTTTATTGGGTTTACCATTCCAAAATTTCCTTGGTTCGCATTACAGGCTGGTCCTGGAACTATTGCCGAAGCTATGATTCGTGGGCTCCCGATAATTTTAAATGATTACATTGCTGGCCAGGTGATTGCCCAACAAGTCTTCAAATTCATCTGAGTTTTTATTTCTATATTTTTGAAATTATGAAAGAAAAAATCATATGTAGTGAGGTTGATGACCAAAAAAGGTCCAAAACAATATCAAGCTTTTGACCAAAACAACAACCAAAGGAAGTTTAATGTGTCATTTTGATTAAGCCCATAATTTACCCGAAGCGAAAACATTGTAAATAAATGTTTTCAAGTAATATTGTTGACTCTGAAAAGCTCAATGGTTGCGTGGAAATTCGCACAGGAAGCCGGAAATGTGCCATTTGTGGTGGACAATGGTTGTGGGAAATTCTCCAAGGTCCCAAAAGAGATAGCCAACATAGTGAGACAATGGTTTGGTCCCAAAAGAGACGAACTCGAAGCCATGTCTCGCAACTGTCTTAGGATGGCTAGGCCGGACGCCGTTTTCAAGATTGTCCGGGACATGGATGAGCTCCTCACCCAAAGAAGTTTTGCACATAACCACTATTGCCCAGCTTGAAACCTTTGACTGGGATATATTATATGGATGAGTTCCTCACCAAGTGTTTGATGTGAATGTACCACCCAAGTTTCATGAGTTTTGTGGGACCCTTTACATTATAGAGTTGTAACAGTATTCCATCTTATAAAACCATTGTAATAGTCTCTGAAGAATCACATTCCATCTTATAAAACCATTGTAATAGTCTCTGAAGAATCACAAAAGTTTTGAGGAAGTAATTTCTCTAATAGTAATAAAAAGTACTCTTCTGGTCTCCACAAATTTCATATTCTCCTTTTTTTCACCAACCAATTTGATCTAGATTTCATAGTAAGTCTGAGTGCATAGATTTGTAATTGAACTTCATTAATAATTACAGGAATTTAACTTGAACTCTAATTTAATTTTTTAAGTTTCAGAACATTTAATTTAAATCAAATCTAAATTTTAAATTTAAATCTACATTTTCAAGCCACCAGAAGGGAGACATGGATACAAGTAGTTTGGGGGCATGGCCTCCTACTACTTTTATCTCCTTAATTAAAAAAAAAATTACACTTCTTAAATTGACTAGGACCCCAATTAAAAATATTAAGGATCATAATTAAAGGTGCTAAGTGAGAAAAATTTGAGAATATGAAAGTTTTAAATATAAAAAAATTGATTTTTAAAATGAAAATTTAGAAAATTGACAAAAATAAATTCTAAAGTGAAAAACTAAAGTTATACTCCCTCTTTTCCGGAATTATCTTCCTTCTTCACTATCCTAAAATCACAAAAACCTTTGTTCATTTGTGTGTTTTCACTGATTATTTGATAATATAAAACATTTTCATCACCATTTATTTTCTTGAACTTTTGATGGAGTTTTTAAATATGTAAATATTACGGAGTATTTTTTATTTATATACCAGCCTTTAAATAAAATGAATTGAAAACACATAAAATCTTACTTCGTTTTACGTAAAGTGAAGATAATTATAAGACGGAAGGAGCATGTAGTACTATAATTAAACTAAGTACGGAGTAATAATGTAGTCTATATATTACAATTAAACTAAGTGTGGAGTAATAATGTAGTCTATATAGTACACTATATTTTGTTTTTTTATTTTTTATTAACTATTTAAATAATTGTTTGAGAGTAAATTCTTTTTTTTTTCATTTTACAATGCCAGTATTTATCCGGAATATTGTTGTGGGCTCCGCCGGTGGGTATTGCGTTGATGAAAAAGAAAAGGAGTGCCGAGGGAATAAGGCCATGTTTCGATTCTTGACTATTGCTTTGGGAGTCAACTATGCTAAGTATAAGACCTCCGTAAATACTCAGATGAGACTCATCCTTTAAATTAGAGCAATGCTAGGTGTACCCCAAATGTACACAACCCACTTCTCCACCACCTATTTTTATTTTATTTTTATTTATTTATTTTTTTTTTAAATTTTTTACCTTTTTTGTGGACAAGGAGGAGTGGGGGACAAGTGGGGTACACATTTGGTGTACCCCTAACATTTTTCTTTAAATTATTATTGTGGACTCCTACAATCAAACTTTTTGGATCGGCCACTAAGTTATTTTCTTACTTTTGGGAACACCGATTAGAATTGCTTTCGTGGAAGCCTCCTTGGCCATGGGCCCAGCATGGCTGCTGCTGGGATTGGAGGTTTCTGGTTAGGGATGACGCTTGTGCTTACGTAGGGACAGTTGTAAACTCGCACTTGAATTTCTGGAACCCCTGTGGACCCACTGCTCCAGCCATTTAATTGCAATAAAATACTACTCCCTTCATCCCCGATTTGATTACAAATTGCGGGTTACGGAGAAAAATTTGAAATCATTTTATATACAAATTGGTATATCAATAAGTTATAAAAATTACATATTAAAAAACTACGTCAAAAATTCTACAAAACAATAGGTGACAAGAATATTTTATTTTATCAAATACTTGATGAAATCGCGTAAACAAACAAAATTCATTTTTAAATAATTTTATATAAAAAATAGTATGAAATTAAAAAATAAAAATTGTTCGTACATATTTAAAAATTACATGAAAATATCTACTCGTACAAAACTAGAGATGGCATGACAAAATTATTTTATCAAATAGGATACGAAAATAGCTCCAATAAAATGAATAAAGTTTGACCTTGTGAATAGTGGATGTGGACTTTATTGTTGGACGGAGGGAGTACGAAATATTACTCTCTCCGTCCCTAAAACATTACCACATTTTGACTTTTTTAGTCAAATTGTGGTACGTTTTGACCACAAATTTCATATAATTTATAGTAATTGAATATTATAAAAATTTGATACTTCAAAACTATATTTTAAAATAAATCTAATTTTACTAAATTTACATTAGGAGAGAATTCGATCGGAACAAGAATCACTCGAGAACCAGAATCGATCGACACCATTGGGGAGGGGTTTTGGTTGAAACATGGGTACGTAGTTTAGTTGATCTAATTGAGGGATGATATCAAGCTAAATGATACACTAAGATTGAATCATGCACGACAGCGGTAGTAAGAGAGTCATTTCTTTGTAATATTTCTTTGTGCGTATCAGGCATAGGCGGTCTCTAGCTCTAAGTCATGATTCCCTCTCACAATTTGGAATGTGGGGCGTACGAAATGGGCATTCCACCTTCTTTTAAAATTTGAACCGCAACCGGCCAGAAACACATCTGGTTTACTTATTTTTAATTCTTAATATCAATTTAACTTTGTTTTACGTTAAGTTGACTCTCAAATAAAAATAATAGAAACACAATATATAGAGTAAAATGTTATTAAAAAAAATATTGAAACCAGTCAAACCACGATGAAACGGGTCAAAACCTCCCAATAAGGTTGTGATTACCTACTTGCCCTTTCCAAAACTGGAACTGTTGGCTCGCAATCAAAAAGTGATGTCCCTCTCCTAAGTCCTAAATGATTGGTTTACTATACATTGGTAGAACAAAGTGATTAATTATAGAAACCAAAACACAAATTAGTTTTTTCTTCATCATCATTCATATATAGGTGTGTCTAGTCCTATATAAATATGTGGGGAATTTACCTAACTATGACTAAAACATAATAAATTTTCAATTTAAGACCATATGTTTTTTGTTTTTCAGTTTAGGACATTAGTCATTATTCAAATAAATATCCATTATTATTGGGCATTATTCCTTAGCTTCCAATAGACATTATTAAGTCTTATTTAGAAAATAAAAAAGTATATATCTTACATTGAGAACACACTTAAGTTTATATATATATATATATATATATATATATATATATATATATATATATATATATATATATATATATATATATATATATATATATATATATATATATATATATCCTCCCATGCATTATGTACTTCCAACGTAGCATTATTAAATCACAACAATCATCTCATCCTCATCTTCTTCCATTTCACCATTTCCATCTTCATTCTTTTTAGTTTGGCCGGGTGGCAATTTTGCAATTAGTCGTAATAATATGGTGCCGCCGCCTCATGTGCTGATCGTGACCTTTCCGGCGCAAGGCCACATCAACCCTTCTCTCCGGTTCGCCAAACGCCTCCTCAGCCTGGGCGTCCACGTCACCCTCGCCACCAGCGTCTACGCCCACCGCCTAATCCTCAAGGCCAACGGCGCCGGCTTCCCACGCGCCGCCGGCTTCAACTTCGCCCCTTTCTCCGACGGGTACGACCAGGGCTTCAGGAAGGACCGCGGCGACGACTTCGTGACCTACATGTCGGAGCTCAAGGCCCGCGGGTCCCTGGCGGTGAAAGACATCATCTCCGCCTGCGCCGCCGACGGCCGCCCCGTCACGGCGGTAGTCCGTACCATCCTGCTTCCCTGGGTCGCCGACGTTGCGCGTGACGTGGACCTGACCTCCTCCCTGCTGTGGATTCAGCCCGCCGCCGTCTTGGCCGTGTACTACTACTACTTCCACGGGCACGCGGACGTCTTCGAGAAGGAGGCGGTGGAGCTGCCGGGGCTGCCGCGCCTCGAAAGCCGGGACTTGCCGTCGTTCCTGCAGCCCTCCGGCTCGGAGGGAGATTACAGTTTTGCCCTTGCGGGATTCAGGGAGGAGATGGAGAAGTTAGACCGTGAACTCGAAACAGGTCAACGGCCGACGGTGCTGGTCAACACTTTCGACGCCTTAGAGGCGGGGACACTCAACACGGCCGACATCAGGTAAAGATATTGGATATTGTTATAAAAATAGTTTTATTACATTTGTTAAAAAAATTATTTTCAAAATATTTCTATTACTTTATGTAATCAATATAATACTCCCTCCGTCCCATATAGATCTTCCCAATAGCCCTTTTTCTATGTCCACAATAGATCTTCTCATTTCATTTTTTAACAATTAAAATACCACAACTACCCGCATATACTTTATTTATTACACCTCACCCACCTCATTTAATACACTCCATCCATTTTCATTAAGGGTATTATGGTAAACTTTCACCTTTTTTCAACTCTCCTTAAAAATCACCAAAAGTCAAAATGAGAACATCTTAGGTGGACGGAGGGAGTATATAGATTTTACTTCATTATAGTTTAAAGTTAAAAATGATTTACTGAAAAACGTAGAAATTGGACAAATAATCCAGATAGGGATAGTAGTTGGGTTTGAGTGGGTAGTTAAACATTCAATCATACACCTATTATCGGGTGTCCTAAGTTATCAATTAATTCTTCCTTCCTAGTGTTTATAATTTTCAACTAAATAAAATTATGCATAAAAAATATCTTTTGAAAATATTTTACAAGATAAAGCTAATTTTCAATGAGCGTCAATTTTTAATTTACAACTAAATAAAATTATGCATAAATTAACTAGATAAAAAATATCTTTTGAAAATATTTTACAAGATAAAGCTAATCAAAATATTGTTATATCAATATTTATTACAGAGTATAAATTTATTTAAATAATGATCAAAATTTTTCCATTTTGTATAACTTTTGATATATTTTTTGAACATATTGGGCCTATTTGAGAATAGCGTAAGCGATTAGCGCTAGCGTTTTGAAAAGGCTGGCTCCGTTTGGCATCAGCGTTAGCTATTAGCCTTAACGTTTTGAAAAAGGTTATCCGACGGTAGCCTTTAGAGTTAGCGTTTTTGGAATTAATCTACACCATTAAAATTTTATCCAAAACGCTAACGCTAATCGAAAACGTTGTTCCCAAACAAAGCCGCTATCTACGGGCAGCGTTTAGCGTGAGCGTTTTCAAAATAATCTGTACCGTTAAAATTTAATCCAAAACGCTAACGCTAATATCTAACGCTATTCTCAAGCACGCCCATTGTTTGTATTATTTATTTTTATACAAATTTATGAGAACTGTAATTTTAAAAGAGATAGACTTTGGCTTGCAGGGAAATGAATCATACATTCATACTCTCTCCTTCAAGAAAAACCCACTTGTTTTCATTTTTTGTTAAATTTTGACATTCTTTATTTACAGATTAAATGAAATTTAAATAGATAAATGGCATAAATAATTGATATATCAAAATTATATCTTAAAATAAACTTTATTATATTGAATTTACATTATATATAGCAAATAAAAATAGGTTTTTCATAATTCATTATTAAAATGTGTCACACTGTCGATGTTTGATAAAAAAAATTTAAAAAAGAAGATTTTTTGGGATAAAGGTAAGTGATAATTGAGTACACTGAGTCACACTGACCAATAGCTGCACTAGCTTTTCTCCGGTCACCGGCAATTACCCCAATTTTCCTCGCAAAATGTGTGTAAGTCCTCATGTAGGGTCCATATAACATTCAAGAGTCCCTCACAAGTGAGAAGTCATATACCCATATGTTTCACACTTTCACTTTTCCGTGTTATTCTCTCTTCCCTTTTATCTTAAAAAGATCTTTCCAATTCGATCGGTGAGTTTTTTATTGAATTATTTTTAATTCAATTTATTACGGAATATATTATAAGTGTTTAATTAAAAAAAGTTTTATATTCTAAAAATTACATAAAAAATATTACAAAAAACAAAAGTGACATGAATACGTTATTTTATCAAATAAAAAATGAAAATAGATAAAGAAATTGATTAAAATTTGACTATATGAATAGTTATTGGGAAGATCATTTTAGGACGGGGGAGTAATTTAGTGCTTCGGCTTTTTTTTCCTTTCATCTACTTTCCTTTCATTCATTTTTCTTTTTTTAATTTTTAATATTATTTTTAATTAAAATAATTAAACAAAAAAAATAGAATACAAAAAAATTTACTAAACTATAAGCTTTTTTTAAAAGGAAAAACTATCCAAAATAATCCTAACTTTATCCAAACTTTCAAAAATAATTTCACCTTTCACAGTGATGCATAATAATCCTAACTTTACTCAAATCTGTGAGTTTTGGATCGGCGTTGAGTTACTAACGGTGATTTAACGGAAACGACATTTTTTGCGCAACAAAATGAAAGTTAGGATTATTTTTGACGAATTTTTCTTTTTTTAATTTTTTTATCTGTGTGTGTGTTCTGAATATATTCGTAAAATACCCTTAATGTGAATTCATATTCGATAAAGATTCGAATATTTTTTCAGATTCGTATTTGGAATCAAAAGAATCGAATACGAATCATCTAATTCAAATACAAATCAGGAATCGAATAAAAAATAGTGAAATTTGCACTAAATAAGACTAAAAGATAATGACTTTCCTAATGTATGACTTAAACTTTTTTATTTTTTAAATAGGAATTAATAATGTCTTAGTGGAAGAAATAAGGTATAGTAATGATGGACATTTTACTTGAATAATGACCAAAGGTCCTACATTAAGAAATAAAAACATATGGTCCTATACCTAGAAAATCATTATGTTTTAGTCCTATTTAGATAAATTTTTCTAAAAAATATATGGTTCATTTACAACCCTATTTTGGTGTACCCCATTTAAAGACAATCATTGCTTACCATTCATTCTTTATTTATTTATTACTCCCTCCGTCCTAAAACTTTCTTCTCACTTCCCTTTTTCCCCGTCCTAAAACTATCTTCCCATTAGAAAAAAAAGATGACAATTGACATTAATACCCTCATGTATTTACACTTATTATCTTCTAATTCTATATTTTGAATGATTGCAAAAAAAAATTCAAAAAATCTTTTTTAAGGAGGATAAAATTTGAAATCAAAGCCAAAAATTGAAAATGGAGAAAAATCAAACTAGGAAGAAAGAATTAGGACGGGGGAGTACTTGTTTTAATCAACATTTGATTTATATAATGAAGATGCTTTGGTATACATACAGTTGGGTACACTTTTTTCGTTTAGAGCACTCACAATGGGGTTCCAAAACACTGTCACGCCTTGCCACATCAGCATGTGGTAACATGGTGCGAGGCAGTTCCCAGGCGTTCCACCCTACTCCCCGTTCCATCACTGTTCCATTCTTTTGGATTTTTTTTTTATTTTTTTCTCGTTTTTTTATAAGGGATGATTTTTTTTTTTTGAGATGAGGAGAGCAAGATCTGGAAGAGAAGCATATGAGACGCCGACTAGCGTTTAAACTTTATGTCCGGTGAAAATACATTGTCGTCTGTCGGCTTCCTATTCATACACGGCAAGTTTTCTGGCGAAATTGGTGGATGGCAAAGCTTGGACCGTATTGGGGGTGAACCAAACATGGATTAATTTATTGATTTAAAGGGAGTGATTTCTTTGATTATTTATTTTTATTTTCTTTAATTAGGATTTTAGAATTATTAAATTCAATAATTACAGAGTATGAATTTAGATATCTCATAGTTCCTATTGAATTTAGAAAAGTAGTAAAATTGTTTTTAATAAAAAATATGACTAAAACAATTTTTAATAAAGAAAGTAAATTACAAAAGAACAAACGTAATGACTTGCCACTGCACAACGTTTCACTCCTTTTCCTTATTAATGTATGACTGGATTACTTCTGATTGGTTAAAAAAAGTCTTGTCAGCGTGTGAGATTTTATTTTTAACTTGCCCTTGTTCATGCTTACCATTGTTCATTATTTTTATTTTTATGGAGTAGTATCTGTCTTTCATTACTTGGCAGATACAACTTGGTCAGCATTGGACCGTTGATTCCGCCGGCGTTCCTAGACGAAGACGACCCATCGGTCACCGCCTTCCGGGGTGATCTGTTCGAGAACGGCGGCGACGACGACATCAATCGCTGGCTGAGAACGCAGCCGGAGTCATCGGTGGTGTACATCTCATTTGGGAGCATCCTAAACCCATCCAAACCCCAAAAGGAAGAGATAGCCAAAGCACTCCTGGAGACCAAACGGCCCTTCTTGTGGGTCATAAGGAAGAAGCTCGAAAACGAAGCCGCCGGAGAAGAGGACGGGGAGCTGAGCCGCAGGGAGGAGCTGGAGAAACAGGGGATGATCGTGGGGTGGTGCGCCCAGACGGAGGTGCTCAAGCACCCCTCCGTCGGGTGCTTCGTGACCCACTGCGGCTGGAATTCGACGCTCGAGAGCATATGCTCCGGCGTGCCCGTGGTGGCGTTCCCTCACTGGACCGACCAGGGGACCAACGCCAAGCTGCTCCAGGATGTCTGGAGGACAGGGGTGCGCGTGGCGGCGCCGGTCAAGAATGAGGGCGGGGTCGACGTGGTCGGAAGCGGGGAGATAAAGCGGTGCATCGAGATTGTGACCGGCGACGGGGAGGAGGGGGAGGAGTTGAGAAGGAACGCTAGGAGATGGAGGGATTTGGCTTGGGAAGCTGCCCGGGAAGGTGGATCTTCCGACAGGAATCTCCGGTTATTCGCCGAGAAAGTAGCGGGTCGTGTTGAATAAGAAGCTAGAATTGGTTTGTCTTTTCAATTTTTTAAGTCAATGGTGACACAATAATGATAAAAAAAAACCTACTCCAATGGGATTTGTTGCTATTTACCCATACCCTGAATGCTCTTGAGTGTTACAAGTCATGTTTGTTCTTCTCTCTTTTTTTTACTTGTATTCCTACCCGTGCAACGCACGGGTTCGGACGATTTTTTTGTTACTCAGATAATTTTTTTATCTTATTTGTTGATATACCATAAATTTTTGGTAATTGAAATGCATGCATATATATATTGAAAAGAGCATATAAATATATAAATAAAATCTATATCTTTTGAAATACTTCAGGGTAAACTACATTTTTGGTGAAATTGTAAGGGTTACCGCTATCGTCTAAAACTAACACTTTCAATCTTGCCTTTGTTTTCACTCGTGAAACTGCAACATAAAGTTGACCGTGAGTAAATACTGACTTGCTCAAAAATAATCCAATAAATGACAATGTTTGCCCTTGACTCTTATTGATAGTCATGACAAAACATAAAGATATTGGAAATTGTCTTCTTTGAAACTTAAACGGTAATCCAGGATCAGATGGTACCAAATTTATTCTTGGTATGTAAACTTTCTCCCCGGCATTGTTTCCGGATACAACGATTGCACCGATAACATTTCTGCGCAACTCTTCAACGATTAACCTTGTACCATTACACAACCCTGATGTTTGATCAATGTTTCTCAATAACATGATCGGTACTCCTTTCTTCAAAACTATTTTGTGATTTGGAATTCCAGAACATTTGATATCGTTCAAAAACTCAGTCGTTATCCAATCACCATCTATGCCGACATCTGAATCTGCTTGGCATGAAGAATCTGAACTCAAATATTCTTTTTCATCACCAGGAATAAGAGACAAAACAAATTCATTGATCATTTCAACAACTTCAAATGTGGGTGCTAATAACGCTCTATCCATAAAGAAAGTATAATCTTTCATATTTTCCAATAAATCTGGATATGTGAATTCCACTATACTCTTAAGCGGAGTGCTCGAGTTAAGAATCAAGGATTCTAGTGGTATTTCAATATCACCAATACCATCATTAACCACGCCAAGCTGTCCATCTCCAATTTTAATTATCCAGTCCGAAAAAGTTTTTGTGTCATTATCTTCATAGATG